TGTGGCCAAAGTGGTTCTAGGAACTAGATTTGAGTTCCATTAAACCAGTCGTTGAATTCTCATGTAATTTGATGTGTCGCATGATGGGTTTGGCCCTAATCAGATGTTGGCCTCTTCCCCCGGGACACCCGGAATATGTCCGGATGTGGCCAAAGTGGTTCTTGGAACTAGATTTGAGTTCCTTTGAACCAGAAATTGAATTCTCATGTATTTTGATGTGTCGCATGATTTGTTTGACCCTAATCAGATGTTGGCCTCATCACCCGGGACACCCGGAATATGTCCGGATGTGGCCAAAGTGGTTCTAGGAACTAGATTTGAGTTCCATTAAACCAGTCGTTGAATTCTCATGTAATTTGATGTGTCGCATGATGGGTTTGGCCCTAATCAGATGTTGGCCTCTTCCCCCGGGACACCCGGAATATGTCCAGATGTGGCCAAAGTGGTTCTAGGAACTAAATTTGAGTTCCATTGAACCAGAAATTGAATTCTCATGTATTTTGATGTGTCGCATGATGGGTTTCACCCTAATCAGATGTTGGCCTCATCCCCCGGGACACCCGGAATATGTCCAGATGTGGCCAAAGTGGTTCTAGGAACTAGATTTGAGTTCCTTTGAACCAGAAATTGAATTCTCATGTATTTTGATGTGTCGCATGATTTGTTTGACCCTAATCAGATGTTTACCTCTTCCCCCGGGACACCCGGAATGTGTCCGGATGTGGCCAAAGTGGTTCTTGGAACTAGATATGAGTTCCATTGAACCAGAAATTGAATTCTCATGTAATTTGATGTGTCGCATGATGCGGTTGACTTCCCTAATAAAAAATAACCATAAACGAACGATAACCCAAATCATCGAATTATTCAACAAATGGTTTGGATGATACTCAGAACAGCAGTTAGCTTGTAAGATATTATTGTTAGGTTAAGATCTATTTAATAAAAAAAAACATATGTTAGTTATAAGAAAATGAAAAATAAAATTTATTGATGAAGTCATGTTTATGCTTCAACTGTTTTCATTTTTATTAATTTAAAACCCATTGAAAAAGAAAATGGTGGTGAACATTCGGGAGCGCGCCGGGGCGCCTGGGGGCGGACAAAATGGCCGAAACGATCAGTTTTTTGACAGGTATCGTTTTCGCCTCAGGCGCCCAAATGTTGCAAATATGGTCGCCCCCGGCGCGCCGGCGACCAAAATTGGACCAAGCGGCGCCGCGAGGTTCGAGTCGCCCAAGTCCGCCCCGTCCGCCGAGCGGTCCGGGGGCGAGCCGTGGGCGACTAGCCCGCTGTATGTGGGAATTGATAATTCTCCCGAATATCCTGGTAAATACACTTTGACTTAAGTAACAATAGGGGCCACCAAACGACGTTTAATAACTTTTGACTCAAAAACCAGTATTTTTTAGCATGAAAGCTAGCGATTTGCATTTGTATGATTAAAACCCGGCTAAATATGTTAAACATTGCTATCACTATGAGATTATATGTGTTTAATTGGAAATAGGAATAATTTTTCGGTCATCAACACAAAACTTTATTTTTCTCGGATCGGTGCGAATGTTACTTACGACATAATGAAAGTTTGCTCTTGCAATAATAGAAGAGCAACAGTTTGTATCGCTTAACTCGGTTTGTTTACATTTGTTACATTGGTCGATTTGAAAAGTTACGCGAGAATTATTCTGACAATTATCCATGCAAATTTTACTCAGTCTAGGAGTATACTAATAAGCTCAGAGAAACCTCTATCGATTTTCCTCATATTCGAGAAGTTTTTCCTGGAATAGCTAGGAAAATTCAACTCACTTTTGTGAAAATCCACTGTTGACGAAATTGAGTCGAGCGTCCTGGTATATTTTTGCGATTTTGAGTGGATCTCATCGACCGTGAAGTGCATCCCCGTGAGTCGTGAGAACGATAAACAAACAAAAAACTTACTCGCTTTGCCGCTCTCTGTGGCTGACCCACCATCAGTGATGCCACATGTACAGATTTATCTGTAATCATACAGAATTTTGTCAATATTTTGATACAGATATCTGTATATACAGATTACAGATTTTTCAAAAATATACAGATTTTTCAAAGAAGGGAAAAATATGTTATACTATTTTTTATATTTATTAATTCCGAATAATAATCTTTTCTTTCTTTTAAACAGCTTGAGCTCAGAGCATCAAATGCAAATCGTCTTTTTCACTAAATAAATTATTATTGTTTTAGCTTTGAATGGACTTGGAATCTTTTGAATGGACTTCTAATGTTCAGGTGCTTTGATTTCTCGTTCGAAGAAATAGTAGTTTCCCTTGCTATTTGTCGAGGAGTCAACAGGGTATATTGATATTTGATTAACAAAATTAAGAACGTATAAAAACATATAAAGAACATTGCAAGGGGCAATCAACTCTGCACACAGCATGACACACTGTTCGGCACATTAAAGCACACTTTGACAAGTAGGACACAAACAATATAATACAAAACGGCATCACTGTTTATTAACATTTTGGCCAATCGTTTCTAATGTTTACTAATCGGGTCAATACTTTGTTTACTCACAAATGAAACTAGTGAGAGAATGTCATACACAAAACTGGTGATACAAGGATTCAATCAAGAAGTTGTAAACGACAAACGGATACCCACCGGTGTTGGGGATCATTCGAAAAATTCTGCAAGTATTGTCTGAATAGTGAATCTCTTCAAACCTAGCAAAACTAAGTCCGTCTCTTCCGAATCACAGCAAAAATCACAGCGGATCGTGTTTTCATCTAGAACAGCTTCTATCAGGGCCTCACTTCAGTTGAGTTCATCTATATAGTATACATATGTACACCATCGCCGGTCCAGAGCGTCTTGTCGATACGGCAGTCAAGACGGCTGAAACGGATTTCCTCTAGAAACAATTAGTTTTCGATTGAGGACAAGGGCGTAGCCAGGTTTCGAGCTAGGGAGGGGCGAAAAAAAAATTACCATGGAAAATTTGGCCGAATGCCATTTCACCGAACGCCATTTCCTCGAAAGCCTTTGTGTTGCCGAGTTTAGGGGGGGGCAGTCGCCCCCCCCTGCCCCTATCTGGCTACGCCTATGATTGAGGATGAAATCATTGTGTAAAATGCCCGACTGTTGCAGGATGAAATCATTGTGTAAAATGCCCGACGGCTACACCAAAATTTTTTATCAATATCAAGCAAATGGATCCAAACTATACAACGGGATGGCAGAACACCTACAATATGCTGTTATTCGTACGAAAGATCGGATTTAATCGTGGAACCATGAGCATCGGGCATCTATAGCTTGATGAATCTTCATATTCAGTATTGGAAAAGTTTATCAAAACGCACTAGGTCTCAAGAACTTTTTCCATGATGAACTTCGTGAAATATCGTGAAATTTTTCCAACGCTGCTCACATTCCAGCCCAAATGCTGTCCCACTGGAGGCTTTATTCCAGAACACACTTCTTATTCTTGAACATAACATTTGATACTATCGTGTGTATCCAATCTTGAAGCGTACAACAAAGGATCAGAGCAGGATCTTCTGCGAGAGTTGAGGTACATCAACAATTTTGTTATGCATAATGAACAATAAAGAAGAAAACAAGCTTATCACAGGGGGCGGCTAGATTTGGCTTCCATTCTCGCCGAGCATCTTTGGGACGGAAATTTTCACTATTTTATCCTGCGTTTTTCCTCGGATATTCTTGTCAGTCATTAGTCTTAATTGGTGTGGACTTTGATAGAACAACCACAGGACTTTATAGCGATGTCCATAGAATATTGAAAGGTGTATCTGTAGTGCTATATGGTCTTGAATCACGAATCGCCCACGTTTTTCATCTGTGTGGAGCTGACTGGATGGGGCAGAATCTTCTCGAGTTCTTTGCAGTTCTTTGCAGGCGCTTGATAAAGCGCTTCCGCTGAACTCTGTGGTGGCTGAGAATCCTATTTTCAAAGAATGACAGTTCTTCAGTGATACGATAGACTTGGGTTATATCTTTGAGGACACGCAATGAGTCGATCAGATGATTTAAAACTGGTTTGAAGATGTTGCTCCAGCGTGGGATTGAACAATGCTTAAACACCGTATTGGTTTGATGGTTTACAGTTCCTCTTCCACCTACCAACCCGCTAACGCTCTATTGAGAATGGAGGTGAATGTCTGCATGATCCATCAGAGAAATTGAGATTGTAAAAAAATACAAAAGTCATAACTTTCAGCGTTTCCAAACACCTTGATAAGCATACTTCAATTGTCCTTGGTAGGTAAGTTCGGCAGAGCGCTTGGCACAACTAATAACTCGGCACGAATTAAGGTGTGCAAAGTTGAACACCCCTTGGAATAATGTATGCAATTCGACTAAACTTTCAGTAAAAGTTTTGTGTTAAAAACCAGCCGATGGCTGAAAGTCTCTTTAATCAAGAAAGATAAAGAAAGATGTGTAAAAACTTATTGAAAAATTACGGAGTTGAAAAAAAAATGTTAAGATAAAGGTTTTCGTTATTACAGACATACAAAAAATAAAATTCTAGAAAATTGTGATATTTACTTCATTAAGAAAATCTTCAGCCGGAAACAGATTCGCCTCTCACAACTCACAACACAACAAATGTTTTGTATTTTCAATCTGCAGAAAAGATATACATCACATAAAAAAAAATGTAGGATTTCGAGATCTTTCAAATCGAAAAATTCTTTAGAAAGCAAACATTCAAAGCCCTTCTGAACTATGTATTATCTCAATGGAGAGTTACGTAAAGCTGCACTAAGACCATAATAAAGAAATTGCACAGATTTGCTTACAGATTTTTGTCAGTCAGATACAGATTAAAAAGATTTTTTGCGATGAAAATACAGATTGGAAATCTAAAAAATGTGGCATCACTGCCCACCATGCATGAGAGAGAGCGGGCTGAGACGAGACTACTCACTGCTTTGGTCGCTTTGGTGCTTGGCCTACTGCCATCTGCTACCGATCAAAACATTCGAGTATCGCACTTGGCCAGCTTAGCACGCGTCTCTTTTGTACGTTTTCGCTTCTTCTCCGCTGCTTTCGCTCGCTCGCAAAGCCGCGGATGTTTTGTGTGTGATTGTTCATAATTATTTTTGTCATCGTTGAAACAAGTTGGTTCTTTGAAAGCAAAAAATAAGGTGGAAAATAACAAGTGATGCAATGCAGATTTATTGAAGAGTTTGCCAGAAGAAAGAAAGCAGGATCGTTGCAGTAAACAGCTAGAGAATATCGAAAATAAAGTGCGTTTTCGAGCGAACAAACCCAAAGCGGAAGATCAAGAGGCACTGTCACCTGTGTAGATGTGACATTCTGTCACAGCGTTGTTAACTAGTGAAATTTTTTTTGGAAGGCGCAAAATTTCACGTCCCACTAAATAGCGTTTCGTCTACGGTGTTGTGCTTTTCTGTGCTCTGAAAGAAATCGGAAAGTGTGAAAAGTTAAAAATAGTTGCGGTAGGATCCGTTTAGAGAATTCCAGCGACAAATCACGTGCTAGATAATCTGGAGGAAAATTTATCGAAGATCGTTGATATCGTGCCAAATTAGTATTCTAGCAAGCGCGAGAAGATTAATATTCAAATATTCGTTTTGTGTTTTGTAAACAACGTTAAATGGTGTGTATTACGTGTTAAGGTGAAAAGGTCGTTAACAAGCAGGTTTTTTTGAGTGTATTGCGTTGTTTACTGTTGTTGAGGGCTGGGCAGTGAGAAAAAAAGAAATCAAATTCTAATCGGTGTTTGTCGTTTTACGAAGGGGTGGCAAATCGCTCGCTCTAGTACTGCAACGTTTTTGAGAAGAGAAGAATAGAGCCCAATCAAAGTTGGCGCTGGACGGGGGCGAAGTAGGCGAAGAGGCTTGGAGTCGGGATTCTTGTGCGATTAGGATGAGCTTGAAGAAGGCAAGTCGCACCAAGAGTCTGTCGCTGAGCGGAGATGACTTCCCGCTGCGGCCGGCCAAGCCACGGGCGGCCTTCGTTACGCCCAAGCGCCCGGAGGATACGATGAAGATCATGAAGTACATCGACGACAACGTGATCGGGAAGGGAGTTGCGTTTCTTGGCCCGTTCGGACGACGGAAAGGTAGGTTGCGACCTCGATTTCCAATTCCTAGACGTTAAAACCTTTTGTTTGTTTTGCAATACATAAAGTTGAACACCTTACGCAAAATGAGGGAACCGGTTCGCCGTATAGAGTCACGAATGGCATTAATAACAAATCATGCGTCATGGTACCACTCAATTCGCAATAACCTTCAATTAAAATCTCATTCATTCGCTGTTTGGGTAGATCTTTAGCTTTTCGCGATTGCTCTGGCTTTTGGCGTTTACCTTAAGCCCAGTGGCGTGCCGAAGGGGGCATACTATTTTGATACGCTGAATTACAAGCATTTAAACAATATGTCGGATACACCCAGAGAGACACTCAAGTGCAAAGTCACAATTTACACGCTCGACAAAGCCTGGCGACACCGACAACAACTGGTGACCATCACCGCGGGGAAAACTGTCGTAAATAATCCTCAGAATCGGTCCACGTCGCGAACGTGATCAAATCTAAATTAGTCATCTATTTCATCCCCTGCTAGCTGTTCTAGAGAGGAAAATAAAACAAAACCGATCTACTACTGCGCTGCGCCATCCAGTACAGTTCAATCGTGAAATTAAAGTAGGCGTCGCTCTCGTTGGTCGAAAAATATGCTCACATGCGTTCATCAGGCGCAGAGATAATTGGCATTCGTGGCCGCCGCGCCGCCGTGTCTAGCCTGGCTTGTTTTGCTGTGTTGTCTTCCACTCTTTCACACGCTTGGCACCGCACACCTTTTCGCAGTACTCTATCTCCTTCATCGTCGTTCTCTCCCGGCCTACTGCGCGGTTAACCGACGACGACGGTGGCAAGGCCAACCCAACTCATGCAAATCGTGCTCTGAGCTCTGGGGATTTTTTTTTATTTTGCTCGCGGGAACCAAGCAAGCGGCGATCGAGGAAATTGTTCAGTGGCTTGACCCTGTCCCTGGTGTCCCTGGCGATGGCGTGTATGTAGCGTATTGACCGAGGCACCGGCGCAAAAACGATCCGATCGCGTCCTGTAACGCTATCTCTGTTTTGGAAGGTACTAGATTGACGCGACAAGGGGATTGGAGTTTCAAGGGGTGCAATTAAGTCGTTGTGTTCTGTTATCAAATCTATCGAGCGAATGGCGAATTAGTTGGCCACTTAGCTGTGCACATACATATAACTACTTTTTTTTTTCAGGCGGTGTGTAATTATATGATTATCACTGTAGAGTGGTGTTTAGTGGGGTGGGTTTGCAATGTGAGCTGTATATGGAAGCAGTTAGTTTGTAGCAAAGCGATTTGATCGGTCACAGTTCATGGACAAACGATAGAGTGCTCAAAGGCTTCTAGTTGGATACCATTTCTGCCGGTAACGTTTCTGAACCTTCTGGTTCGTAATCCACCGATGAGTTTCAGGCTTTGCTTTGAGAGGTTTCAGAAATTCGGACAACTTACTTAGTTATCATGGTCCGACATCCCTCAGGATTGCACCTGCATCACAATGTTACGTCAATTCACTCGGTCCGTGGCTGCTTGTCTCCAATTTCTTGACCGTCCCACACTTCCAAAATCCTGCTCCACTTGCTCGCTGTGCTCCTCTTCGTCTTGTACCGACCGGATTCGAGGCAAATTCCAATTTGGGGGATTTTTGAATGGCATTCTTAAAACGTGTCCCGCCCATCGTACCCGTCCAGCCTTCGCAACTTTCTGGATACACCGTTCTCACATACCGCGCCAAAGATGGTCCTAAGAACTCGTCGTTCGAAAACACCCAGTCCTCCTCGAGCATCGTCCACGTCTCGTGCCCGTAGAGAACTACCGGTCTTATTAGCGTCTTGTACATGGTACATTTAGTACGGAGGTGAAGTTTACCCGACCTCAGGGTCTTGTGGAGTCCGTAGTAAGCACGACTTCCGGCAATAATACGCCGACGAATTTCTCTGCTGCAGTTGTTATCCGACGTCACTAATGATCCGAGGTACACAAATTCATCCACCACCTCGAACTCATCTCCGTCGATTGTCACGCTTCTGCCTATGCGAGCCCTATCCCGCTCGGTTCCTCCAGCTAGCAGATACTTTGTCTTCGACGTATTCACCTTTAATCCAACCTTCTCTGCTTCACGTTTCAGCCTGGTGCACTGCTCCGCCACGGCCTGAAACGTTCTTCCGACAATGTCCACGTCGTCAGCGAAGCAGATGAACTGGCTGGACTTATTGAAGATCGTGCCCCGCATGTTAAAGCCCGCACGTTTCATAACACCTTTCTAGCGCAATGTTGAACAGAAGACAGGAATGACCATCGCCTTGTCGAAGTCCTTTGCGAGTTTCAAACGAGTCTGATAACGCACCCGATTTCTTCACGCAGCACTGTACACCATCCATCGTAGTCCCGATCAGTCTTGTCAGCTTCCCGGGAAAACCGTTCTCGTCCATAATCTTCCATAGCTCTTCACGGTCAATAGTATCATAAGCGGCCTTGAAATCGATGAATAGGGGGTGCGTAGGGACTGACTATCAGTCGGTGCAGACAAGTGGCCAACTTACCCGGGCCCATTTTGATAAGTTCCGCTCCGATACCATCTTTCCCAGCTGCTTTGTTGTTCTTAAGCTGTCGGATAGCATCCTTAACTTCACCTATCGTGGAAGCTGGCATCTCCCCCTCATCCGCTGTACCGACGAAGCCATTCCTCCTGCCGCCTTGGTCCTCCGCCTCTGCGCTGTTCAGATGTTGATCGTAGGGCTGCTTCCACCTTTCAATAAGATACCCCCTTCCTTATCCCGACACATTTCGGGCTCGTGGCACAAAGCCTTGGCGGGATGTGTAGAGTTTCTTGTAGAACTTGCGTGTTTCTTGAGAACGATACAGCTGCTCCATTTCCTCGCACTCCAGCTCTTTCAGGCGGCGCTTCTTATCCCGGAAAAGATGGGTTTGCTGTCTTCGCTTCTGTTTATATCGCTCCACATTATGACGGGTTCCTTGCTGCAGCATCACCGCCCACTCTTCGTCGAACCAATCGTTCCGTCGATTCCGCTCCACGAACCCAACGGTGCCTTCAGCAGCGCTGTTAATGGCTGCTTTCACGTTGCTCCAGCAGTCCTCAAGAGGGGTTTCGGTGAGCTCTCCCTCATCCGGCAACGCTGCGTCGAGGCATTGCACGTACTCAGTTGCGACTTCGGGTAGCTTCAGTCGCTCCAGATTGTACCGTGAACGGGCGTCGGTACCGAATGTTGTTGGCATCGGAAAGTTTTTGGCGCACCTTGACCGTTAGAAGGTAGTGGTCCGAATCGATATTTGCGCCGCGATAGGTCCTGACGTCGATAATGTCCGAGAAGTACCTTCCGTCGATCAAAACGTTGCGATTCTGTCTGCTGCGGTGATCTCCAGGTGTACCGATATGGGAGGCTATGCTGGAAGTAGGTACTACGTATGGCCAACCGGTGGAAACTAACGATTTTAAATCGGCTCACTACTTGACTAGCCTATTGGTCCCAAGCAAACGATTAACGTACCCCATTCTAGTTGAAATTCTAGTACTACACTATGTTTGTTTTGATTCGCTATGAGAGTTTGACAGATGAAATGAGGGGTTCGTGGATTTTCCTATGTTTCGAGGGGTGAATCGATTAGCTTGGGACCGAAGATAGTACCAGAGCTGAGCCAAAAAGTTGAGCACGTTTCTTCGGGACCTTCTGGTCTTAGAGTTAGCTCTATGGTATGGCCATGTTCTTAGAGGCGGCGAAATCGATGAATCTAAGGCCGTTGGCGTTCGTTAGCTAGTAAGCGCTGAACTTTCCTATCTTCTTCTTGTTCTTAGCATTTCAAGCTTATTGCAAATCGCATATTAGCTTATAGCGTGCTCTCAAGTTAGTGTTCTAGATGCACTTCCACAGTTATTAATTGAGAGCTTTCGATGCCTGTACCATTTTTGCATTGGTATAATTGTGTGGCAAGTCCAATCATACTTCTATGCCCAGGGAAGTTGAGAAATTTTCCAACCCGAAAAATCCCTAGACCGGACCGGGAATTGAACCCAGTTACATCCAGCATGGTCTTGCTTTGTAGCTGCACCTCTAACGACTGAGCTAAGGGAGGCCCCTGAAGTGCAATAAATGCATTGTTGGCGATTTTTGTAGCTTCAAAATAGCATCTTTTGATCGTTCAGAACCACTTCTAATCATTCTAGCAGGCTGCATTGGACTGTCCCGTGGGTGTACATAATGAAAATAACGGGTTCAGAATGCGTTTAGAATGTTTTTTTTTGTGGTGCAACCGAAGTGCAATAAATTCATTTTTGGCGATTTTTGTAACATCAAAATAGCATCTTTTGATTGTTCAGAACCACTTCTAATCATTCTAGCAGGCTGCAATGGAGTGTTTCGTGGGTGTAGATAATGAAAATAACGGGATTAGAATGCGTTTAAAATGTTTTTTTTTGTGGTGCAACCGAAGTGCAATAAAATCAAAATAGCATCTTTTGATCGTTCAGAACCAATTCTAATCATTCCAGCAGGCTGCAGTCTAGTGTCTCGTGGGTGTAGATAATGAAAATAACGGGTTCAGAATGCGTTTAGATTTTTTTTTTTGGGTGCCACCGAGGTGCAATAAATGCATTTTTGGCGATTTTTGTAGCATCAAAATAGCATCTTTTGATCGTTCAGAACCACTTCTAATCATTTCAACAGGCTGCATTGGAGTGTCCTTGGGTGTACATAATGAAAATAACGGGTTAAGAATGCGTTTAGAAAGTTTTTTTGTGATGCAACCGAAGTGCAATAAATGCATTTTTCGCGATTTTTGTAACATCAAAATAGCATCTTTTAAACGTTCAGAACCACTTCTAATCATTTTAGCAGGCTGCAGTGGAGTGTCCCGTGGGTGTAGATAATGAAAATAACGGGTTTAGAATGCGTTTAGAATGTTTTTTTTGTGGTGCAACCGAAGTGCAATAAATGCATTGTTGGCGATTTTTGTAGCATCAAAATAGCATCTTTTGATCGTTCAAAAACACTTTTAATCATTCTAG